CCACTCACCTCAGCCTCCCAAAGGCGCAGGATTACAGGCTGAGCCACCGAGCCCGGCTTCTGTTTTCTTATAAGGACACGTCACTGGTAGAATTAGGCCCACCCTAATTCAGCTTGACCTCGTCTTAATGATATCTGCAAAGATCCTTATTCCAAATTAGGTCACATTCTGAGGTTCTGGGTGGACATGAATTTTGGAGAGACATTGTTGAACCTAATGCAGCCAACATTTAAGAATTAGGAGATTGTAGCCAAGTGTAATGGCTCATGCTTGTAATCCCAGCACGTTGGGAGGCCGAGGCAGTAGGATTACTTAAACCCAGGAGTTGGAGACCAGCCTGAGCAACATAGTGAGACCTCGTCTCTACAAAAATTTTAAAAATTAGCCAGGCCCGGTGGCTCATGCCTGTAATCCCAGCCCTTTGGGAGGTGGAGGCAAGAGGATTGCCTGAATCCAGGGGTTCAAGACCAGCCTGGGTAACTTGGCAAGACCTCGTCTCTACAATAAGTTAAAAAATTAGCTGGTGATTAGCTGGGACTACAGGCGTGGTGATGCACACCTGTAGTCCCAGCTACTTGGGAGACTGAGGCAGGAGGGTTGTCTGAGTCCAGGAGGTTAAGGCTGCAGCGAATTGTGATTGTGTCACTGCACTTCAGCCTAGGCAATAGAGTGAGACCCAACTCAAACCGACAGAAAGAATGAGGAGATTTCACAGCAGAATCCCGGTTCTAACCTGCTCTTGGCCAGTTGGACACTTCGGCCACCTGCAGTTAGTGTTCCCTTGGACAGCCCATGTGCCCCTCCCACCCAGCCTCCACACGCTGTTGTCTGCCACTTAGCCTGCTGTGTTCATGGATGTCGCTGCCAGCCCTGTTGTTTACTTAGTGACCATTAGCTCAGTGCGTGTGTGTCCCCTGCTCCGCTGTAGGCCCCAGGGGCAGAGCAGTAAATAAAAACAAAGCCCTTTCCCTTCAGGAGCTTGTCACAGCTGCTGGGAAGGACTGAGCGCAAGACAGAGCAGGGGTCAGGGTGTCTCTCTGGCAGGTGACATTCCAGCAGAGACATGAGCAAAGCAAGCAGGGAGTTGTCTGCAGGAAGGGTGTTTCAGGGCGCGGGAACAGCAAAGGCTCAGCGAGGCCAGAGTCCCGACCTCTGTCAGTGTCCCAGGGCCTCCTCGCCTGAAGTCTCCGCCCTCCCGACAGGAAGCCTGATGAGTTGGCAGCCCGGGGCCAGGAGAAGGTGAGCAGCCTCAGCGGGGCCCACCGGAAGCGCCGCCGGCCATCCACGGAGGAGGAGTTCGAGTCCTCAGAGGAGTCAGAGCCCGAGCAGGCCCCAGCCACCGAGCAGGCTGAGGCCGGTGCAGGGACCGCAGTGGCAGGTCTGCCACCAGCTCCCGCTCCCGACAGTCAGCCCAGGCCGCCCGAGACTCCCGTGCCCCCTCCGGTGGCGGCCCCCACCCCAGCCCGGCCCCCGGCCAAGCCCGCCGTGTTCGTCCCTGTGAACCGCTCTCCCGAGATGCAGGTTTGTGGGTCCCACATCCCATCCGTGGTGAAGAGGGAGGTCAGCCCAGCAGGGACTGAGGGTTTCAGGGGGGTCTGGAGAAGGGCAGGTTGTGTCCCCATCTGGGGAGGGGGAGAATGGCTGTGCCTTCTGTGTCGGTGAGATTGGTGGGACTGGGGAGCCGACAGCAAGCACGGCGGGCGGTCAGAGGTTGAGGCCAGGTCAGCTAGCGTCGTCTCCGTCATCCTCTAAACATGGTCCTGGCCCAGGGACACTCTAATTCAGGTAAGGGTTTGGGCTGAGACCCAGCCGAACCGACACTGAGTGATGGTGTCACCTTTTTCCTGCCCCACTCCTGAGCCCTGTTTTCCTCATCTGTTTCGTTTTGTTTTGTTTTTTGAGTCGGAATCTCACTCTGTCGCCCAGGCTGGAGTGCAGTGGCGCTCTCATGGCCACTGCAGCCACGACCAGCTGGGCTCAGGTGATTTTTCCATCTCAGCCTCCCAAGAAGCTGGAACCACAAGTGTGCGCCACCACTCCCAACTAGTTTTTTTATTTGTTGTAAAGATGAAATCTTACCAAGTTGCTCAGGCTGGTCTTGAACCCTTGGACTCGGGCAGTCCTCTGACCTCCACCTCTAAGTGTGTCCTGGGATTACAATTGTGAGCCTCTGCACCTGGCTGTCTTTTTTTTGAGTCAGATTCTCAATCTGTCGACAATGCTGGAGTGAATGGAAATAACACTAACTTTAGGATCCTTGAACTTGGATAACTCTCCTAACCCCTTCACTGTGGCTCTCTGTGAAGTGAGCTTATAGGTTAATTGAGATATTTATCTTGTGGAATTATTAAAAAGCCTATGCTTGTGTATGTGAAAAAATCACATTCATTTGTTTAAAAATGTAAAGCTATTTTGTACAGGCTCAGTACTTTTCCAATGCACTGTTGTATTAATGCATTAAAAATTGTAAAGTACCATGCTTA